ACACTTGTCTCCCACTTGTCTCCCAGTAAGCTCTGGATGCTCTGAGTCACAACCTGGATCCATAAATGTCATGTTTTAGCCCTTGTACGGCGTCCCATTGTAAAGTCAATGAAAAACAGAATTTTAATGCTTTCCCTTTGAATCTTGTATGTGCGTCTACATGGTGGACTACAGTTTTCTTCCTCTAGGAAATACTGCTGGCCATATTGTTCGGAGATCTCATTTTTGAACATTGCTCTGTTTGGGGTCTACGCTGGTATAATCTTTTTTAGCCGCTAGAGGGAGGTAGTAGCTAGAGGTAGCTTCCTTGAAGAAGCGCTCGCACCAATGATTTGGTTCTAGATGTTTAGGGAAACTAAAGCTACTAGACTACTAGGACTCCGAGACCACAGAAGACACCCACGCGACTGGCGATCATCTGAAGCCCCTCCATGCAACTAGCGGTGCCTTGGAATGATTTAACCATGTCTAAGATTCTGAGGAATATCTCCGCTACTACACGCCCAAAGTGATCCCATCCAGTTGCCTTCCAACCATGCAACCATATGCAACCCCTCAAGGCCCTCAAGGCATGCACAGGGCTTAGCGCTCAGCCATGTCACTCTGGGCCGTGGCCAGCGCTTTGCCTAAGCGCTGCTCCGACAAGCCGGCGCCGTACCTCGGGAAGCACCCAAGGTCGGGTGCAAGGCCGAACGGTGAGGCCGCAGAGGCTCATGAAGCATGGGAGGTAGCATCAAAAGGAACAGCTACCTCCCAGGGAGCAATCACTGCATGGCTTGCACGAAGGCAGACTCAATAAATCCGCCAAGAGGCCAGGGAGCAGTGTCAACGTAGCGGATGCCCAAAGACAAGGCCTGTTTCGACGGGCATAGCTGTAATTGTCCTTCCTCCCAATGGCCCAAGAGCCGTCTCCAACCTACTAGCGATGGCCTCCACCTAGTAGCTTCTTGTTCCTAGTAGTAAGGCCAGGAGCTACTAGTAGCTTCTTGCTCCTAGAAGCGATGGCCCAAATGGAATCTGCATTTCACTGTTCTTGCTTTTGCTCTTTGCCGTTCGGTGCTCCAAAGTCCCACCTGCACCACGGTGCTCTCGGCGGCGGATTCTGGGACATCACCGGCCCAGCCACAACCGATTGGAGCGCAACCCAGGATCAGCGCTGACACTGACACCTAACAGCTCCATGTGGCCCATGCACACATCGGCAGCTACCACACAGTGAAACAGCTCATTCCATCGGCCTGCCGATTGCGAAGCTGCAATTGCACCTTAGGATGTTCGGGATGGAAGGAGCCGACAACATGACCTCATAAGCTGCAGAAAGGCCACTTCTCCACGGCCAAGCACGCCTTCCAAGCACGGACAGCAGGACATGGCGTCAAGGCAAAAGTCACTAATTACAAACCAACCTGTTTCTCAATTCCCTCTTTGAGCTGCCCGTGCATCAATTATAAAGCGGGTAGAAGTGTGCTGTCCGGAAAAAAGAAATCCTATGTCAACAAAACTGGGGGGCAGCAGTGTCAAGCGCTGATGTCCATATATCTAGCCTTGCGACGGTAAAGGTGCATGTCTGGCCATGTGCTGACCCACGCTTCGGGCCCCCTTTCAAAACGCTATGCACCCACTGGATTTCCATGCCGAACTCCAACGGTCCACCTCTCGCGTAAAAGTACAAACACTGTGGACATGGAAACGGGGTCCATAAAGGTTTCCGTGGACTAGGAAGCAACATGGTCGATTTGAAGACTTGGAGAGCAAAACATTGCTTTGATATCAAGCAGGGGGCAACGCTTTTGCATCAGACCGCAACGAGCTTTCGTGCCAATTGATCTGATGGCCAACAATGATCTGCATCTTTGATGCTACCTCCTGCATGGCGATGGGGTGGATTCTGCGGGGTAGGCCGGGGTAGGTAGAAGCTCCTAAAACAGCATGATGGGGCGAGGTCTTCAGCCTAAGCATAAACAAACTTAATAGAGATCAATGGAGCCGTCGGGTCTTCAAGAGTGCATATGCTCTTTCTAGGGCTGCTAGGGTGAGGGCAACCAATGGCATCCCAGTAAGATATAGTAAGATATGTATGTGTTCCCATCGCTGCAAATTCAAGGCCCTTTGGGCAAAGCGCTCACTCTGGCCGCCTCTGGCTCAAAGCACTGGGAATACCTGAGTTCATAAGAATACACCGATCCCCTGCTTCAAGTTTTAGATTTCTAAGGTGCGCGACGAAGCGATTCTTGGGTGGACAAAGCAAGAATCAGGACCGTCTGAGAGAGCAGGTGAGTCTCATCAATTGAAATTTAAACAGTTCATTCGTTGGGTCATTTGCGACTCTTCCACCAAGAGGCTCCATTAAAGTCCATGGACTCTTGTGGAAGCCTGACACTCTGGTCTGGTGACCCTGTTCTTGAAGACATGACTGTGCTTTCAAAACAAAAGCCCATCTGCCAAGCCTTCTCACAGATCGGGAGCGAAAAGGGAAAAGCGCTCCTGATCAGGAAATTCAGAAATACACCAACACCGTGAGATTCAACCAACTCATGTAAGGAACGCAGTGACCAGGCCAGATTCGTGCATGATATGATCACGATACCATCTTAATCAGGTGGGGCGGTGGGGTGGCTGCAGCTTAAACCAGGGACAACCACTTTCTGATATGTTGTTTTGGACATGTGCTCCTCCTTCCAAGCCAGGCAAGAAAAAAAAACATGTCCCTTCAACCGAGCAGGGGCACTGGCCTGGCCGCACCTCAGGCGTCGGCCTAGAGCGATCTTCGGAACGGCAACAAATGCTAATGCACTGCAAGACCTAGATTGACAGGATGGAGAGCATGGATTAGTTGGAGCTAGCAGCTAGACATGAATTCATCTGCTCATGGTCCCCGTGAAGATTTGAAGCTTGAGTTTTGCATGGGCGGATCGCGGACCTGGGCTCCAGTCGGCGCTCCTGGAGGGGATCTTCGTCCGGAGTCCGATGTAGACACTCTTGGAACGTGGAAATGATTTGTAAGTATGACGCCGAATCGCCAAGTGCCAGGGCGAACAAATGGTGTCTCAAATTTCACCGTGTTCCCTTGAAATTCATACATCGGAGACAGTGACGCCCCTCCTTCAAAGCCGGCGACGGAGGCCACTCATCACCTCACCAGAAGTCGGTCTGGCAGTCGGGTTGCACGGGGGGCAGTTGTCTACGTGAAATCTGCAGCTATCCACCCAGCACACTCAGGCTCACACTGATTGGCCGCAAGAGTTCTGCTCCTTCCGGACGCCTCAGCCATGACACATGGCCTCAAGACTTCCGCAATGCCTAAACACTGTCCGGACATGATTCGCAAATTCAACCTCCAGAAAGGCTAAGGCAGAAGCAAACCAACCTCTCGAATTTGACAGCCTTACACCCTTGGAAAAGACTGAGAAGGGGTTACCTCACTCCATATCCCCACTACTGTGACTTTACGACGTTCCAGATTCGCAGAGTTCGTGGTGCAAGCAACCTACCCCCAAACAAGAGACTACTGTTGAAAAAAACATCTCCAACTGGCCCAGGAATCCCTTGAACAAAAAAGAAACATATTTGTTCCCAAAAATCATCGGCCCCTTGGGCGACCGTTTTCCTCTACAAACTTCCGTGGTTTTCCACTTCCATGATGATTTCACACTCCGTGTGTTTCATGATGATTTCGTGGCGTGAAATCACCGCGTCACCTCTTCCACATCCTGGGGCCAAGCGATGCGCAAAAAGAACCTGGCCTCCAACCGGGCCAACCGGGCCAAGCCGCAACAAAAACTCCTGGACTGCTGATGCCGGGGCTCCACGGAGGCGGCGCGCCTCAGCACGAGAGGTTCTGAGCATTCGATTGGAGTGTGGATAAATGATAGACGATATTTTGTGCAGCTTCGACTTGGCCTCCGCTGAACAGCGGCACGTTTCAAGAGTGAAAGGATCAGGACCAAAAATAGGATCATGACTCATTCGTTTGGTTTAAGATATGATCAGGTGTGTGGACTGCCCACGGTTGTTGAATGTCTGCAAATGCCTGGCGCTCTGTTGGCATTGGAATTGGCAGGTGTGCACGATGGGTGACGCGGACCTGCTGCCTGCAGGTAGGGCAAGGAGCTCATTCTCAGACAGTCACACATGCTGCTCCGTTGTGACAAGTCATGATCTCCCATGTGACATGGCCCACTCACGTCCTCCTTTCCGTGCGCGAATCACTCCCCACCTGGGGTGCAGGAGTAACTGCAGTTTTTCACTGGGAGGTTCCCCTGGAGCCCGACAGCAAGGAGGAAAATCTGTTGGCACCTGGGCACAGTGATGAGTGGCAGGCGACCTTCACTGTAGACTGCCTCTAAATGCCTCTGCCGGCCGATTTCTAACAAACTGGGAAACACAAGCACAAAAAAACTACATTTGCTGCGGACGACGAATTGCATAAATTTGCCACAGGACATGCCACATACCAAGGACAGTCCATGATGGTCCCATGTCTGCGCTCTCAAGGCCCTACAGCGCTTCAGACAGCCAAGGTGCATTTTGCAACGACGATGCTCCCCCAGGCTCCAGCCGGTGGTGTGGGCGACACACGCCCTGCCACAAGTGGCGGCTGCAGGGAGAACATACAGCCCCACCCAGACACTCCATGTATGGATTATACCCCCCAAACTACCCCAATGGATGCAAATATGGCAAACATGGAGTGTCTGGGCCATGAAGCTTGCCCCACTAGAAGCGGGACATCCGACACCTCTTACTGTATCTGTCTGACACACCCTCCTGCGCCATCCGGCATCGGTCCAAGCGTGGGACGACCTCCGGCAGTGAAGGGCTTCGTCCGGAACATGCCACTGACCGAGCACATGGAAAGGTTCTCTGCCATCTTTGACCACGTTATTTGCACTGGCTTGCAGCATAAACATGACGTTCTATGGCTGTTGAAACACAGCTTTTCAGTGCCCCCTCAACCCCCAGTGCCCCCCAGCCTCCCCGGTATGCAGCGGCGCAGTGGGTTCACCGCCCAAGCGGAGGACATCCGGCGGCTTGGGCGCCATGCGCCTCGACAAGCGAGGAGTGGCCCCGCAAAGCGATTCACATCTTTTTTGCGGGTGGCGTATGAATATGAAGTGCTAAATACCGTTGTTTAGTCTTGACTCGTTATATATACATATATATATACCTAATATCCAGAATCCAAAATTTAAAAAAAAAATAAACGTTGGATGAAAGGAGCACAGCTCCCCACAAAAAAATAGAATGAAAAAAGGCGCTTCGCGCAAAACCATCACAAGGACCTTCACTCACCGGCACCTGTGCGGCATCCCGGGCATCGCCATCTCGATGGGCCGCGCATCGCGCCCCGCAGCGCCCAGCACTATGCCATGATGCGCCTGCACAAGGTGTCCAACCTAACGCCAGTCGGCTACCCCCCCACACACGTGTTGAGAGACTCACAAATGCGTGCGCACAAACACATGCATGTGCAAACCTTCGAAGCAGTCGCGCCTGATTCATTCAACCATGTTCTGCGGCCCATTCACTCACACAAAATGCACTGACTGGTAGGGCAGGGGTATCACACGCGTTGGGTGACTCAAACTATCTATATAAACTGATGTCATGAAACATCAAAACAGGAGTCTAAAACACTGAAGGAGCACATCTGTATTGGACTGACCATGGAAAGTAAGTCCAGTCAGTGGCTGTTCACCTTGGGCCGACCATCTCTCCATAATTATTGATTGTCTCTGCAAATCATCGGCAGCCTGTCCAGAAAATCACACTCACAAAGCACCAAACCTCAAACCGAGTGCGAACGTTTCAGCCTGGAAGAGTGCAAATTCCGTTGCCTCTCCTGGATCAGATGTATGACACTTATCTTTGAGATGCAAGAAAGTCACAGCAAGTCCATTGCTGGTACACTTTTAGGTTCCGCCTTCCTCTTGATTGGTACAGCTGTAGCACCAACTGCTTGGGGCGTGAGACTTGCGGGCATCTGCGCTTCTTCCGCTAGCTGGTCCTTGCTTGGCTCCCTAGTTCGGGTGTTCGATGCAGGGGGGCCCAAACATGTCCTGGTTGCCTGGCAATTTCACTCCACTTGCAAAAATATAAGCAACAAGCAAGAAAGGTGATGCTTTTCGTGAACCCTTAGAAACAGTGTTCCCACAACCCGTTTGCTTGATATACATCTACATAGCTCTCACGCCCTTTCCTTCGGGGGCCACGGACCCTCGGGAAGCCGGCAGCGCAGCAATTCTGACCCATCCCCTTCATCATGCGCAAAGCACCACACACGAACAAACAAACGTGTCTTTGCAGAAATCAGCGCGGGGGCCCGTCCAGTCAGTGGAAGCAAGTCCCTGTCACATGAACGATGGAATTTAGTGGTATACCTTATGGGCCAATAAGAGACATGGTTTTTGAATGGAGGATTCTCTCCTTGAGTTCATTGAGTCAAAATAAAATGGATCAAAGCTTCGGCCTGGAAAACCAGTTTCACCTCTGCCAGTTTTCACCATCTGCACTGCATGGTCCTGTGTTGGGAGGGCCCACTCCTGGCCGAAAACGAGCCCCACAAAACAGACAGGTTGGTGGCCGGTTGGCGGTGGGGCGTTGGTAACCAACTGCCACACGTAGGTGGCAGCTTGTTAGGCTGTTAGAGGAAACGGGGCAGCCTACCTTTACATGCTCACAGATGGTGATGGTGATGGTGATGGTGAGGGGCTGCAGGCTTTTACCATCTCAAACAAAAAATGAGGGGAATTCAACACCACACCTCGAGGGCGGCCATCTCTGGCTGAACACCGGCAGCAGCAGCAGCAGCGGCACAACAATCACCAATCACCACAACCACAACCGCAATTACTACAGCATCACCCATACATAGTCATGTTTTTTAAGGTAGGCGCGCTTGTTAGGGGCCACGCGGCTATGCATCTTTTAGTTTTTGTGGCCTTGAATTCACTTGTACTTGCAAACGAAATTGATGCTACGTCACAGGTGGGGTGGGTGTGGGGTGGGGTGAGGCTCTATTGACGACACTTGTACTTGCAAACGGGTTTGACGCTACGTCATGGGTGGGGGGGGGGGGGGGTGAGGTGCTGCTGCTTCAACTTCATTCCTGTTAATGATATGCTCCTACACAATGCATTCAATGCCATAACATTTGGCTCAAGGGTACCATATTTGACCCTCACCCCACCCCCACCCCATCTATGACGTAGCATCAAGCCTGTTTGCATCTCCAAGTGACATCAATAGAACCCCGCCCCCACCCTCTAAGCACAAGTGACGGCCCAAAAGCAAGAAACAGAACAGACACAAATTTTCTTTGCTCTGCAGCAAGCGAATCTCAGTTCTATGCACACTGAAGGCTAAAAAGCAAAACTGTACAAGGCTGCCACGCAGAAAGGTTCATCTACTGCGCTAGAGCGGTACACCGCGCTCAGGACGGAAAAATGTGCGTCAGCTCTTACCGAGCGTCATCGAGGCTCGTCCTTGCTCGGGTCGATCGCTCCTGGGCGTTGGCTTGGCCGGTAGAGCGCCCTCGCGATGGTCTTGGTCAGGAGCGCGAGACTACCAGCAGATGGTGTCTCTAAAGTTTTTGCTTACCTTCCGCTGGAAGCAAAAGGCACTGAAGGTTCTGATAGTGATCCTTCAGGTTGAGGCACTTTCGCTAGAGCGGCTTGCCTCTTGTTAGGGTCTTGCTCAATTCTCGTCAAGTGCATCCGGCCCTCGCGCGATAGATCGCTGTCTGCCAAGCTTGCATCAAACTCTTCTTGGGAATTAGCCGTCATCAAGGCGATGATGACCTTTGAGTGATCAGCTTGAGGTGTTTCCTCAATCTTCTCATTGATCAGAGATTGGAGGGCATCTGGCGTGCACCGGGTGGTAACGTCATCTCCCCATAGATAGGGAATGACCCATTTGTGTGCTGCCTGCGCTCGCTGTTCGAGGTAGGATAGACCTACCTCTCTCACCATCTGTCTGTCGCGAGCACGCTGACGTCTGGTTTTGACGTTCTGTGCGGCCGTGTTCTCTGTCAAGTAACGTTCTTCAAAACGTTTTTCGGCAGCTGCCTCAGAATCCAGGGTGAGGCTGGGGGTTCCCTATCAACTGCTTGAAAGAACTGCGCCGCAGAACTTGTGACTTCTTCTGCCTTATCGGCCGCTAGAGCGCCACTTTCTTCGTCCATTGCTGCATCCTCTGTGACTTGTGAATCTAATGGTGCAGTGCAGCAGGCGCAATCTGAGACTGATGTGGAATCGGATGTCGAAATGCGACGACGACCAGTGGTCGTCAAGGTGTTGTCAGTAATCTCCTCACTTGGAGAATCTGGCAAATCACCGCTCCTCAGGTCAGAATTGACGTTCCCCTGCTCGTCAAAGTGTGCTTGAGTTGGAGCGACTGGATCTTGTGCCGTTAGGGGTCCTCGCAGTTCAGGATCCGACTCGTCCGTATCACCTGATCGAAGGCGATAATGAGGAACATCTGCCGGAACATCCGGCGGTGCTGGTGTGGCAACCGCGGTGTCCGGCTCGACCAAAGCAGGCGTGCCCGCTAGAGCGGGATCCACTGCCTCTTGGTCAACTTCCTTGGGAGCTGCTGTGTCATCGGCCGGCTCCGAGCGTCCAGCGGCGAATTTTGCGAAGGCTGATGCTCTGCGCAACATGATACGAGCTGGTCCGCAAGGAAGTGAATCGAATTGAAAGCTGTGAAGCAAAGTGAGCAAAAATGGCTGCTGTATGCAGGCACAAATTTTCTTGAGACAAGAAAACGGTCAAAAACAAGCATACAAGCAAACTGTCCGCCAAACCGCTAACGCGGCAACACGTAAGGTCTTACCGACCATACAACACAGTGTACACATCTGCAGCAACATCTTCAGCGAAGAAGCTTACTATACAGTGCGGTTCATAACAGTGGCTTATTACCAATTCAGCGACGAAAGCCTTATGTTCGACAAGTGTACGAAACGGCGGATGCATATCCACTGCCTCTAAGCATGCCTGTTTTGATCGACTTTATCAGTTGATCGGGTTTTGGACTGTGTTTGGTTAGTGGATCAGCTAAACAGTAATCGCTTGTCACATGGCTTAAGTTGTGAAGCTGGCCGGTATTACTCTCAATCCTTCATCATCTGTAGTGTGTCTCTTTTTGCTTTGGCAAATGTGTAGTTTGGGCCGTGGTGACGAGGTTATTTGCATCTGTACGATCTGCGCGAATATGAATCGGTAACTTGACTGCACTTGCAAACAGTCATAGATGGGGTGGGGGTGGGGTGGGGTGAGAAGAGACCATCTCGTGGGCGGTTTCGCGTTGTGGGCAGTTTCGCGTCGCTTTTCGCGTGTTGCGTTGCATGTCGTGTCGCTTTTGTTCACATGTCGCTTCGCTTTTTGTTTCGATTCGCTAGAGAACGTAAAGAAAGTCCTTCGAAACTCTTGGATAGTCAAAACTGATCGAAACTGTAGCGAAACTTACAAGAACGAAGGTTCCGAGCAACCCTTACAGCACTTTGGCCACCTCCCAAAAAAGACTCTCCATGTACAAACATCCAAATCGTGGTGAAAAACACAATTTTTACAAAACAAAACGACAAAAATAAAAACATCACAAACCACGGCCCCTTAGGGGCGCGCCTACCATGTTTTGACCAGCTTGCATGACAAACCCCGAGCCCAAAAAAAAAAATGTTTAACTCAGTTCAATCAAGATTCGTACTTAACTGAACCAGCAATTCGCCTGAGGCGCCTTTTCTCCGTTGGTGGCAACATGGCGTTTTGGGTGAGTTCTCGGAGCTTCATGGTTGCCCCTTGCGGTCGGAAAGTCACTGGTGGCGGACCTTCTCGGCGCCTTTTGCTGCATTACGCTGTTCTGAATCACATCTCTGCACCACTCCATGCCTTGCCGAGCAAGTTTGAGCCTTGCCGATCCGGCTGCCGTTTTGACAAGCTCGGAAAGTCGTCAGGTCTTTCAGGCATGCTCGGGCCAAGCAGCGATCAAACCAACTTGAGAAACCCCTATTGTAAGCTATGGCTGGAAATTGCTGCGTTTCTAAATGTTGGAATCGCTCAGAGGAAGCATGAAACTTGGAGGATGTTCTGAGCGCTCTTCAATCAAAATGCTCAGCATTTTGAGCATGGATAAGGCATGACCTCCATGCTGCCTTTCCACCACGACCTCCGTGCTCTGAGCCATCGACCAGATGGTCGATGCCTCAAAGCTCGTCTGCTCTCAGAACTGCTCAGCGAGACTGGTTTGAGTTGGAACTTAGAAACAAAAACGCCACTGAGATCAGCTATGTCAAGGAAAGACAACGGCCTTGAGACCTAGTTTCATTTCAAGCTGGCTCTGGCTTCAACAAATGACTCGGCACACCTGCTGGCCTGCAAAGATCCCTAACGCCAGCTGGTAGATATTCCGGTGGGTTGGACTTTCATACTGGGAAGTCTGATCCCAGTGTGTGACTGAAACATGCACAAGTTTCTGAGAATGTCCAAATCAACGGCGCGAAACTGTGCAAGTTTGTGTCTTCACAAGTTGCGATTCTGGGAGGCAGCTGGCAAAGATTTCAATGGCTACCTGGCGGCTACCTACCTACTTGGCTTCTAGTGCCTTGCACCATGTCAGGAAGCAAAGCGGGCGGAAACGGCGCTTTGAACAGGTGTGTCACAGGTTTCGAGCGCAGGACTGGCGAAGGCTGTGTGATTCCCTTTCGGCACTGCAACTTCGCCAATTAGGGTGTTACAAAGTTGGAATTGTAGCCGTTTTGTTAGGATCAGTTAGCATATGTTGGCACCGGCGTGGCAGTCATCGGGGTTGGGAATCCTTTTGCAAGTCTACTCGCCACTAAACTAATGTCAAAACAAAGCCCAAAACATGAAACAAGCCCTCTCTGTGCTATGTCTCTCAGAGTGCCCCACCGGGGAGTCAGTCTACAAGCAAATCTTTCCCCTTTTGGGAACCTCCTCTTGAATCTTCAAATTTGAATCTTCGAGGCGATATCTCCTACTTGGCATGGTTTTCATGCTGTATTTGACGACGTCGTCTATGTCTTGCCTTGATCTTTCTTGGGCAAAAATTGAGATTGGCTAAAGTTCTGCAACTTCTGCACATACATCGTAAATATGTATGAGTTACGTCACCCTGCTCCAACCACCAAGAACGGTGGTTCAAGTTGTTGCTGTTCGCATTGGTGAGAGGCAAGGTGGGATGCAAAGAAAAGGGTGCAGTCCACTACCAGCAACATCCTGTGGGAGCCCCTCTCGCGATTTTATCACGTGACGTGGGATGTCAACAATAACTCCACCTGCAAGTCTGACAAAACCTTTGAACAACCAAACCCTTGTCTACAGCATTGCAGAATTACAGCACCGACATGTCTTCAATGGGTTGGTAGCCACAGGTCCTGTTCTGGAGGCCAACTTCCCAACATTAGAAATCGTCTCCATGCTTTTCTGGCATCTGTGGCAAGTGACATTCAAACCTTGCTCGCCATGCTCAGCCAACACCCTTGCAAAGGAGGCCAAAGATAAGAGATGATCTTGGACCGCAACATCCCTGGTGATGCAGTCCTCAGCTTCGCCCGGTTTATTGTTACTAGTAGCGTCCTCTTGCTCCTAGCAGTAAGGCCAGGAGCCCCTAGTAAGTAGCGTCCGATCGCTCCTAGTAGCGATTCCCTTTGCTCCTAGCAGGTACTTGCTCCTAGTATTGAAGGCCTACAGCAATCTTCTGTTTAATTTGTTTGAAAACTTCCGCACAGACCTTACCTTCGAACAAGCGGGAAGGTGAGGCAAACCGATGTCAGGGCAACAAGACCCGTGCCTCCATTCATGGCCAGTGCATGTCGAAAGCTTTTTCGGGCGTGCGTCCGTCACGAGAGCCACATCTCAGCCACAGTCTCTACATCCAAAACGACTGGCACTGGCATGGATAAATGGATAATTTGAACGCACCACGTTGTACATCCGATCACCCATGCCGAAACCCTTGGGACGAAGCTGCGGCGGCCTGACGAAGCTGCGGCGCCTAAACTTTGGAGATTTCGTGAGATTGGATGCGCATCGTGCCCAATCCCAAAGGTTGTGGGGGCATATGTCGAAGCTGGCACAGCTGGCACCAATACTCACGAAAAAGGTGCTCCCTGTCTCAAATAATTTGTTGCAAGGGCCGAAGCGGTAAAACGGACTCCGTCAGCGGCTTTTGGTCTACCTGCACCACCCAAACAACCAAACCCCACGGTTCCTCAAAGCTTTCTTCCGACATTGGTCGACTCTGCAGCTTGCCTGCCGGCAAGCTGAAAAATGAGAACTCAATTCAGCTTGCTCACTACAACCAAAATGAGCTCCGACCAAGCGGTGGGCCCTCGCTTGGAAGCTGAACATCACACAGCGGTCTGTACGGCAAGCATGTTTGACATCCTGGAAGCTGCAATGTTGTTCTACACTTCCACACAGAAGTACAGCGAACATCTGCGGTAGATGGTGGGGAAATATTGAAACAGGCCACTGGTTATCCCGAGTTTGCAGTAGAGATTGGAATGAAACATCCCGCGTCAGCAAAATCCATGGAATCATCAATTAGCTTCCACTGGGACACAAACCTCGTTTCCAAGTCCACGGCCGGACTCTTGCCGCTCACGCCGCAGCCACCAATTGACTTTCACCAAGTGTGAGGCAAGCTAAGCCACACCACAAACTTTCATGGCTTCTGTAGGCCCTTGCCAGCTCGCCACATCCTCAACGACCCTTCGGCTGCAATGACAGATGGAAGTCCTGTTCTGGAGGTTTGAGGCCGCCTTCTTAAAACGTCCAGCCAGAGCGCACCGCCAAGGAGTCAGTCTACAAGCAAATCTTTCCCCTTTTGGGAACCTCCTTTTGAATCTTCAAATGTGAATCTTCGAGGCGATATCTCCTACTTGGCATGGTTTTCATGCTGTATTTGACTACGTCGTCTACGTCTTGCCTTGATCTTTCTTGGGCAAAAATTTAGATTGGCTAAAGTTCTGCAACTTCTGCACACACATCGTAAATATGTATGAGTTACGTCACCCTGCTCCAACCACCAAGAACGGTGGTTCAAGTTGTTGCTGTTCGCATTGGTGAGAGGCAAGGTGGGATGCAAAGAAAAGGGTGCAGTCCACTACCAGCAACATCCTGTGGGAGCCCCTCCCGCGATTTTATCACGTGACGTGGGATGTCAACAATAACTCCACCTGCAAGTCTGACAAAACCTTTGAACAACCAAACCCTTGTCTACAGCATTGCAGCATTACACCACGGACATGTCTTCAATGGATTGGTAGCCACAGGTCCTGTTCTGGAGGCCAACTTCTTAATATTAGACATCGTCATGCCATTTTTTGGCATGTGTGGCAAGTGACGTTCAAGCCTTGCTCACCATGCTCAAAAAATAGCCTCGCAACAAAATAGGCCCAAAAGACGCTGTTGGCAAGCGTTGTCGGCACACAAGACACGGCAGTCGGATCACCCGGCGATCGGACCTTACAATGTTGGCAAGGTCAAACCAACGGCGGCTCCAATGTTTGAGAGACACCCACCTTTTCCTCGAGGCGCTTTTTCCTGGGAAGGCTAGACTCTCGAAGCTTCCAAAGCCCCTCAGAAGATTCAGCTCAATTGTGGTAATATGAATCCAGGCGGGGAAGTGAGCCTG